CCCCTTCCCCTTCCCCCTCTGCGTTTTAACGCAGAAATCATTGTTATCGCAAAATATGATTGTCTGTCTTGGCAAAACTTCAGTCTCTTGAATCTCTCTTTTCTCAAATCGTTTCATCTGGATTGCGCTTGGACGAATACTGTGCATCAAGAGTTACTGCCTTCTAATACAGTGTCACCGTTTGCGGACACACTGAAAACTGTTAAGAATGCAAAGACGTTTGCTAGAGCCCACGGACCACGTAAAGTATAGACCAAGAGTAGTCCTTGCTTTTCGGCGAAAAAAAAAACACAAGTGAAATTAAGACCTGACGTTAGCGCGCCAGGCGGAACTTTGGCAAAATGAGGAGCACGAATCCCAGAATGTCACTATCAAAAAAACGAGAAACATCTCATTGGTTCCAAGGTTAACGCAACATTTTGTCGATCGATCAAGGACCATAGCGAGGGAAAACCATCGTAATCCTGGATTGCTTGCGACAATCGATAGAGCGTATGTCGATTGAGTGTTGTCATACCAAGACCAAACTAATCAAAACTACAGCCTATCGGAACAAAGAAAGTCATAAAAAGGAACCAATCAGAACAAGCAAATCACCTGAAGCGCGGGAAATGCGGAAGACCAAATTGCGAATGGTCTTAGTATTGAAACTGTGCGAGTTTCAGGACCACAGAGTGAAGTTAAGGAAAACTAGGAATTTCTTGCGATAATCAAATAAAAAATGGTTCGGTTATCAATTCTTCAAAATAATTTCATTGTTTCCATAAGATATCTGGTAAACCATTTTTCCATATGAATTAAGAAACTGTGGTGCTGCGTCATCAAACCTGATGTTTCGAGCAGAAGCACTTCGTTGTTCGCTCTGACGAAAGGATTAAGGCTCGAAACGTCAGCTTCATAGAGACTCCTTACGGTGGCCAGTTAACATTATCAACTCAGTTGCTCCAACAACCCAACAATTTTTTTTGTTTAGTACACCGAAAATATCAGCAATCGTTGCAGAGTCGAACTTAAGTAGAAGACAAGACTCACCTACAGAATCGAACACAGACGGGTAAAAGAAACGAAACTGTGAATAATCCAAGCAGTGAGGAACGATTGGTTGTAAAATTAGGGTGTCCTGAAAAAGCACAATACATTACAATTCCGTTATCAGACAGTTGGAGACCATTGAGTATACATATAAATGACTGTGAATATATAAAAATCATATATGTGAACTGCGGATAAAGAAGTGAATGTGAGAGCAATCTTCGCAGTAATGAACACAACTTAAGTTGTAGTGAAAATAAGGCCTGAAAAAATAAGGCCTGTAACCATGACCTCTGCAATACAGGTGCAGTGCTCTAGCAACTGACCTAGCAGGCCAACTGGAAGCTGGTCATTATGTTGGTTTCAAATAAATCCGTGAAGTGGTAAATGAATGACTGTCGATCTACGAAAATAATGTAATTTATGTGAATGCGGATAAAGAAGTGAATGTGAGAACGATCTTCGCCTAATCAACTAATTAACTAATTGACTGACTCAAAGTTACCTCTTCAGTGGGAAAGTGCATAAGCCACTCAAAACACAACAACCGCTGACCTTGTGCCAGAGTGGGCTGACTCGACACCAACAACATTCTAAAAAGGTAAATGCATTTAGTTTCTTAGTGTTAAAAAAAAAAGCTCTCATAAAATGGTACATCTGCTATTAGATCTTAAGCCTGTATAAAAATTCTGTAAAAAAGGTTGTGGTTATTTATCGTGGTGAATAACAATAAAAGCTAAGTTTTTTCGTTTGTCTCACGATGTAGTCACGTGTGATGTACATCGCGTGACTCCATCGTGAGACAAACGAAAAAACGTAGCTTTTAAAACTTCTGTATTCACAAATTCCATTTCACCAAACACACACTGTAAATTTACTACCCCTTCCTAAAATTTTTTTAACGTTTTTCCTTAAGGGCTGAACAAAGAAGCAGTCTACTGAACATGTAATTGCACAAACATTTTCCAACAACTAACGGACTTTACCTGTGAAGAAGAAGAAGTTCGTCGCCTTCCAAGAATAAATCATCTGAAAATTTAAGCTACCAGAGAGAAAAATTGTAAGAAATGATATGAGGGATAGGCTTCAAGCTAGTAAACTGTAGATAATTTAGGCATGACATGTACTTTAGATGGTAAACAGCTAAAAGAAAGGAACTTCTTGTTGTATCCTATCAGCCGCGCTGCACCACAGTGAAATTACTTGTATTAGCCATGCACAAGGAAGTAAAAGAAATACACTGAGATTATTTCATAGGAAGTAAGCACAAACAATTTTTATTCACAAGTTGCAATGCATCAAAAAAACGAATGAGTAAGTGCAGCAAAGGAGTGCGTTTTTTGTTGTTGCATCGCACTGAGTGAAGAAAAATCGTTCAAGCATCAACCATGGTATGATGTTTTTATTTCAGACATGTATATGCTGAGTTATTTTTTACATCTCAATACCAAGATTGGAGGTGAACGACTGTGAAAAAACATCATTCGTCCAATCAAAAGTACAAATGAAAGTACTTCACAGTGTAAATCTCAGTATTATGAAATAAATGTAAGTACTGTACATGTACTTAATACAAGTACCAAAATTTGGTGTAACAGAGCTTTAAACAGTTCAAGAATTTAATACCTTACCTTTAAGAGAAGCAGAACATGAAAAACAGAAAGATCAGTTGTGGAAACCCAAGTAATAAACTGTGATTTGAACATCTAAGGAAAACAAATAAAATATTAAAAATTAAATTAACTGAGGATTTAATTTGGGTCACAGCTATTTCAACTGCCCATAAGTGAAGGGCTGACTGCTATTAGTAGTGTAATAATTTATGGAGCTGCCTCTAGTATAAAAAGAATTATGACCATCTGTTCAGCAGTTACTTTGCATTTGTGTGTTTACTTGCTGACGTATAGCACACTAGGTGAGTTCAGTGGAGATGTTGATGAGTTAACAATAGATGTCGAGAAGATGACCAATGCTCTGGAGAAGGGCTAATTCTCTAACTGTCAGCTTCAGAACCTCTCTACCGAGGCAAATCAAATTATCAACTCAGTTGAGAAAAGCAAATTACATATAACTTCGTACTTAATATACAAATACACTTTGTTGGTGCACAGTATCTACAACAACTGTCTATAATATTGATTCAAGTATATTTAATAGACAAAAATAACAACTCACATTTGGGGCAAGTTCTGCTAGTTTCACGCATTGCATGAGCTAGAAGAGGTAAATACAATACAACGCTACATAAATATTTGAACAGAAGATGAGCCTTACACTGCCAGAATGTCATGACTAGCTACTTAACCCCTTACCCCCATGAATGACTAAGAGAGAATTTCTCTATACAATATCAATACAATATCAAGCATAGAAGCGATGAGAATAAAGTAAAATATCAATTAGGGGATTGCTAGTTGATCAAATACCAAATTCTCCAAATTGACATCATAAGAATTGTATGGCAGACAGTAAGGAGAATTACTTATGAGATCTTAGGAGTTAAAGGGTTAAGATGAACTTCAACGCAGTAAAGAGACAAAAAAATGGGAAAGCTTACTTGGAACATAACATGGAAAATTCCAGTGGTGTTAAGAAAACCAATGTTGTCCATCAAGAAGGAAACTGCTCTTTTCAATTCCTTGGTGTCAACATTCTCTGGTAAAGTCAAAGACCTGGAGCTCAATGCTCCAGCCTAAAAATTAGAAAGGACAGCTTGTATTAGTGTTTGAACCTAACAGTGTACTATTTTACTAATGAGACCTTAGTATTTGTTCCGTTTATTAAAATTATTTTTTTTCTTAGTATAGATAAATGTACATGGTAGTCTGACTAAAATTTCATTCTCTCACCTGAATTGTTACTGGTAAAAACTGCTTTGAAGCATCTTTGGGTAAGTAAAGTGGCTAAAGAAAGTAAAACGTATACACTTGTCTATGAGTTCCACAATAGGATGAGTCATGTAACAAATATTCCTCAGCTTCATTGTATTATCAAGTCAAGTATCCACTTATATTGCATGATGCATGTCCACACCCACTTCTATTGGACAGTGGTAAAATAATTCATCATCATCATTATCATCATCATCATTATCATCATCATCATTGTCCCCTTCAACATCAGTATTATCATTTTTAACATTCTCTATTCCTTTGAAAGACTTCATATTATTTTTAAGTATATTTCAACTAAAGATCTTAAAATTCATTTCTAAAAAAAACATATCATAAGTATCTGAAATATCTCATGTGTAAGTTCAGTTCATTTTACCTTCAGAGGTTCTGTACGGCTTGTAAGTAAACTGTTTACACAGTTGTCATCTAGTCTGGGACACACAATAAGAGAAGCCAATTTTAGTTCCACTACATTTTAAAGTAAACATACATGCAGACATATCAGATCACATATGACATCATCTCACCACTGAGAAATTCAGTTCAAAAAAGGTACTGAGAGCATTGATTACAATTAAATGATTCACATAATTATATGCTGTACAGCGTATTACTAGCAATTACACTTTCAAGACAGAAAAAAATTGTTACTTACCTATTCGCAGACTCTTGTAGTAAGAGTTCCATAGCATGGCGCAAGACTGTTACAAACAAGACCTAAAGCAGAAGAAGCATATGCGCAGGCAACATTAATCCACTTGGTGAGTTTAGTTGAACCTTTATATTTATTTTATCTCACAACAAGATTCCTACTCTAAAATTTATTATAGTTAAATTATAACTACATGAACATTTTTTTGAAGCCACGACAAATTTGTCTGTTGATGCACCTGATTCTAAATTTTGTGAATTTGAAATTTCTCACATTATCGTCATTACTGCATGAAAGTAATGTTCACTTGTTATGTGTAAACAGAATTAATAACACTTACCATGTAACTCTGAAATATAGGACTATTCTCCGCAGCACTTTTGGCATAAAAATGATCCAATTTTGCATGGAGAAGACCCTTTGTAAAAATCAAATATATTACATGTAAAAAATGAGTAAAAAAAGATTGAATATCAGGGCCCAGTTGTATAAAGGACAGATAATGCTATCAAATGGATAAATCGCTATCCAGAGGATAAGTAATAGAAAAACATACTGTGTTATCCACGGGATAGAGTTTTATCCAGTGGATAATGTTATAATGTTATTCAACCTTTAAAAAACCACAGCCAGATTCATTAAAATTTCATAGAGTGAATAATTAAAACTGAATTTAAATCATTAAAAATGATTAATCTAGATTACTTGAACAATATGAAAGAGAAAAAGCTACTTGACACATAGACCTGTTGACCTCTTTCATAATGGCAGGCATGACTATCATTTTGTTCTTTTACATGCAAGAAATTGAGCATACTTGTCCTTGCTTGTCAGTAAATATTCTAATGTAAAGGAATAGCAATCAGGCTGGCTGTTCATGAACTTCATGAACAGCAGGTGAGGTGGTACATTAATTTTATAATAATATTATTATTAAATTCATATCTGACAATTAAGAATAAAAATTGCATGCAAAAGATTATAATTTAAGATCAATGCATCTATTTTGTTCAGGCATACACCACCATACCTGTATGTATAAATACTGCAAAAAAAACCAGCTTCCATAACTTACAGTACAGATTGAAAAAACAAGGTCAGTAACATATTTATCATACCTCTGGGTTTAAATAGAGCAGGAAGATTTCAATTCAAACCAATTTTTAAATTTAGCAAGGGTACAGTGAAATATGGCCTGTTTCATTGACCATTCATACTGCATGTACTTATTGACAGACTATGATGTACGTTAACTTAAATACTGTGTTGTATATTGTATCTAAGCTTTATGCTGCACATGTTTGCAGCCATTCCATAACATCTACATAATTATTTCAGCTTCAAAGGAGTTAAAAGAATGCACTTAAAATGAACCAGTAATAACTTACTGGATATGACATTTCTAGTTCCCAAAGGCAGTCACAAGCAGTTCTCCTCACAAGTAGATTGAAAGGGTTGTTTACCTGTTAAAACAGAGTTATGGAATTAGGACTTCCAAAGCAAAAGTAGAGATCAGTTAATACTTCACCAGTTGTACATGACAAAAGCTTACAGTATACGTTCTCAAGCAATATTATGATTTATTGACTGTGTGACTACACAGGCTCTGGCCTATAAGGAAAAAAGCCCTGTGACAAATGTAGGCAGAGAAGTAAGCACTAGGCTATAAAAAGCCATATGGCCCAAAAGGAAGCAAAATGCAAGAGGTAAGTAGTCACAATATCTTCATTTCATTTAACACTTCATCATCGTCCAGAGGATCATTACCAATTGCACAGTGAGGTGATTAGTGATACAATTATTATATAAATTGTTCAAAAGTGTATATGTATGTAAAGTTATCACTATTAAATGATTTACTTTGTATTGTAGCCAAACCATACAAAGATATTAGCCATAAACTAGAAAAACTAGTTACAGACTGATATGAAATTAAAATTGCTAACCACATCTATGACATCAGTCAGGACTTCAACAAAATCAACAAAAACCTCTTGATTGTTTTCCTGTAAATACACAAATTCAAAGAGATTTCAAATTAAACAGTAAGTAATATCCAGCACTGCATAATAATTATTGTGTGATTGATTAAAAATCATCCCCAAATTGAAAATAGCCCCAGCATTAAAATTGTTTGGAATAACCAATAAACAATGGCAAACATACCAAAGTCAAGAGCACATTTTACAGAATGGTTGATGTCTAATGGTTACACTGTACATGTATGTGCTGTCAGTGGTAAGTTACCTCTATGTTTAAAATGCATCCTACAAGTAAAGTCAAAACTAAATGACCTACCAGAGTTTCCTTTGAGATAAGAATGACGGTTCCTGTAACCAAAATCTAAAAACAACAAAACTAATATAAAAATTATTACGTATTGAGCAACAAAATAAATCTGCTGTCTCTATTTTGCAAAATATATCCTACATCTGCAACTCAGGGCTGGCTTGTTCAAAGCTGGGCTATGTTATCCCAGGATTAGTGTGAAATCTTAAGGTGTACACAAGAAATTTAGTATACTTCCTTTTATGCAGAATTTGAATATGTGATGCAATAAAAAAAGGAATGGAGAAAATTATTCCGAAAAGGCTTCTCCGCAAAGGAATAAAGACACCCGCATTAAAATTTAACCTTGGGTTAGCACCAACCAGCCTTCAAACAACTGGCCCTAGTCAAGGAACAGAATATAAAGTCTTTCTTCATGTTGCATAAAATAAAAGTTTGCCACCAATATCAGACAAAGGAAATACATGTACCTGACTGAGATAAATCTGAGATGACTGAGCAACCAGGGAATAAGGAGTCATATCCCTCCTTGAACTTGGATTTGAGTCTGCCCTGAAAATGGATTGATATAAAAAGAAGACAAAACTCTTAACCCTTTAAACACCTAAAGAGACCAGCATCAAATTTCTCCATTCAACATCACCCCTGAATCACACATTAAGGTTATGAGAACAAAGGAAATGATCATCAAAGAAAAAGCTTTTGATTGGTAAACAAATTCTCCTTGTCAGCACCTAAGGAAATGTATAAAGGGCAGTATGGAGAAAAGGCATACTGATTTTAGGGTGGAAAGGGTTCATCCTTATCTTGCCATATCTTACTTTCTTTCTAGCTTCTTCCCATAATAACCTACAGTAATGAAGTGGACATTTCCATCAATCAATTCTTCCCTTTGAATTACAAAACAACTGAAACATTGCAACTGTAGAGCAAACTGGTGGAGCTCTTTTTTTAATAAACTTCAAGGTAGATTGATGTACTGGGAATGAAAGCTTATACTGACAGCCTTACAATATTTACCTTAAAGCATTGCTACTTGGGGAAAAGCTACTTGATGTCTGTAAGAAGAGTAAAATACACAATGTACATACAAGGTGAAAGCTCAAAACATAATAATATTATATAAAACAACCCCATAACTAACAAGAAAGTTCTATTAGGAAAAAAATCTACTTTCAGCTCAAAAATCTGATTTTCATATACAGGCTTTTTGACTTAACAGGACTGGTGTAATTAAATGACTGTCCCTACTCTGGTACACTTAGATGGCATATCTGTAGTCCACAAATGACAAAGACAAGAAGATGCGGTATTTTCTCCTCTTAAAGGGGACAATATCCTTGCAAGCATGTTTTCATATTATTCAAATTGTGAAAATTTGTTGATACTCATTTTTATTCTTGAATAAATGTACACAATTTGCAGCAGTGAAAGTTTAGTGTCCTGCTCCAAAAGCAGAAAACAATGACCTTTACCAAGGTTTAGGATTAAACCCTTTTTTCATCACTTAGAATTACCAGTAGTCACATACTGTGCTGTAAATTGAACATTTAGTAGCAATAAATTGTCTTTAACTACCAAATTACAGCACCAAGTCCATCAGAAGCTGTGTTTCTTTCTATATATTTCAACTAAACCTATACTATACCTGGGCTGTGTAAAGCTCAAGCATAGCTTTATGTGCAGGAAGAAACATTTCCTTCAGTGATTGTACTGCACATTCGACACTGTAATTTGAAGACGAAAGCAGAAGCATAAAAATACGAGGAAGAAGATGGTAGAAGAACATGAATGTGTGCAAGGATAATTGAGAGATGAGTTAATTATCCAAGCAAAACGGAGAAGAAAAATATTAAGAATGGACCCAAAAAATTTTAAACTATAGTGCTATTATTTGATCTGACACCAAATTCTCACAACTAAGACTATGGGAATGTGTAGCAGAAAGAAAGGAGAATTACTATTGAGATCTTGAAAGTGAAAGGGTTCAAAGTGGGTAAGGGAGGGGGATCAGCGAAAACTGAGCACTCCTCATTACACAATCACCAGTCACTGATTTCTCGAAATTAGACAGTCATGAGTGTACTAGAAGTTGTGTACATGTACCTTATCAAATCAAGGAAAAGACTTGAAACCTAGAAAATACATATAGATTAATTTCAGAAAAGCAAAAAGTGAAAAAGACGGATGAATGCACAAACGATTAAGTGTCAGTGGTAACAATGCCACGATAAGTAAGCACCTTTTCTTGAAGAAGAAACAACATCTGAAGCTTCACATTTTCAGGAAGATTTTCATGATAAAGAACCTAGTGGAAATTAAGAAGATGTCAGTTGATGCCATTAAATTAAGCTTGCTAGTTTCCTAAAATGCGATACCTGCGGCAAGGAAAATCAAATCAGGTGATTTCAGTTCCTTCGCACGAAAGCAGAGTCAGAAAACAAGTGAAATTTACCTGAAGGATGTCCAAAACAAAGTGGTGCGCTGTGATCTCTCTGGATGTCAGAAAAGTGTCTGGTGAACGTTGAAATTCTTCCAGGTTCTTCATCCAGTACAGTACAACAGAACTCATCTTTACGCATGTATCTTCAGTTGAATGAAATCTACCAGTAAGTTTTTATAGGTAAACTTTCGCGTAGTAATTTGATCGAGCTTGCAATCATGACAGCCGCCATCTTGATTGTTACAAAAACAGCTAAGAGCCTGGGACCAATGCAGCAAATGAGAATTTTAGGGTGGGCTAGGGGGGACTCTAAAATAAAATTTCCTTAAAGTTATAAAAATATTGGAACAAGTAACGCAACTTTTTAGTTATCGTGCAAGAACTGATGAAAAAAAATCAGGTAGTCTATTTAAATGACAAAAGTAGAAAACTGAAAGCATCGAAAGAAATTGTGTGATATCATCCCTACTCCCTACCCTAGCAAGTTGAACTACCGTCCGCTGGTCGACTTCGCGTTAGGCTCGTCATCTCTGTTTTTATCGATTGTCACATGAAGGATTTTAATGCCACTCTTGCTAGAAAGCAAGAATGGAACCTTCAACGTTGTGGTCTTCAATGAAGACGTACTATTTTAGATACGAAAATGTTATTTTAAGGGTACCATTCTGCTTTGTCTTACAACTGGGAACTTACTTTGACAAGATTGTTCAAGGTTCTGGCGAAGGCTCCAAACCATCGCATGAGATTGCAGGTATGTACGTTGAGACTTTCTAGTGACAATAAGTATATTATTAAGATACATTTGAGGGTCATGTGATCATTTCTCTTTAATATTGTCCACAAAATCAACCTCGAATGCTATTTCGGATGCGTTAATGCTTTGAACAGAATGCAGTATGGGATTTATTAGAACCCTTTTCGATGTATTCGAGGTGGACCAGTGAGTCACCAATTGGTCAGGAAAGTGGTATCTTGCTAAGTCAGAAGCATGTTAGCTGGGTGGGTAAAATTTCCGCACAGCCCCATACTACATTATGCATTCAGTTCTTGAATAGAGAAAACAATGACAAAAACAATACATTTCCATTGGGAAAACAGATTTGTTTTACAATAGTATGGGGCTGTGCGGAAACTTTACCGCTGGGTGGAAGCACATATGCTCCTGGTTGAGTGTATGGAAATATATATATATAAAATCATATACACACATTTTGATTGGTCCTTACCCATGATCTATTGGAGGTCAGATGCATGGATGACACAACCAACTCAAGCAACATTTTGCTTCTTTATCATATCAAACAAATAGGTTTTGTGTTGCTATGCACCTGTTTAGTAGTAGATCACAAAAGATTTCCTGATGTGATAAGATCAGTGAGACACTCAGTTTTGCCTCATGTGCCACTTTTTCATTCTTAGCACATTTTGTAGACATCTGGGATTTACATGTCTTACTGAAGAGGATAGCAAAAGGGAGGGGGGCTCCTCATTTTGTTTCATGTGGGAAGTCAGGTGTACTTTAAACAGGATTTCACGTGCCAAAAATTTAAAGATAAAACTTCAAATCTCACCTTACCTAGCCTGTTTGAAAATTATCACATCATGTATTAATTTTGGGCTTTATCAGGTGCTGCACAGGAACCCTTTGCTGCCCTCTATGTTAATTGATCTATAACAAACAAAATACGAAAATTAGCAATGTTAAACTCATTTTGACTTAAATTCATTTTAACTGTTGTATAATTAGTTTACATAGACAGAAAAAAGAAAGATGGTAAATTTTGAGCTCAGTGAAGGAAAAATAAAGAAAAATGTTTTTCATCTTGTCACAAGTGTCTTGTAGACACTATCCACATTGCAGATCCTAGCGGTATGCAGGACGCATGTCATATGAACTTCGTTATAGTCCTCACTCACCATGGAGTCTCTGTGGCTCAGTGGTAGAGCATCAGAATGCGGAATCCTTAGGGCTGAGGTTCGACTCCTCGTGAGGACTCAGAATTTTTTCTTTGTCCCACACCTGCGACAAGATGAAAAACATCTTTCTTTATTAGTTTACATAGTTTTAAATTTTGTCAGCTTTGGCTCTCAAATGAATCACACTTCATATTTCTCTATTACTTCATTTATATTATATGCCTTCTACATTGCATTGCAGCTGTTATTTGTGGGCTTGTGGGTACAATTGGTGTAATAACAAACTTGAGCTATCTTCAGAAATTCTTCGTTTGGTTGATTGAGGAAGTTGTTCTTCTTGTCGCATTTGCTGCCATTGTAGCATATGGTCCTTCAGATGCTAAGGAAGATTTCTTATGGAGCAGTTCAAATCCAAATGTGTCATCTCATCTTGATGTGACTTACGGCTATTCATTGTTATATGCCCAGGTTTTTGTTGCTGTTAGTGTTGCTATTGTTCCACGCAAATGGGCAGCTGTTAGCGCCAAGCAAACTGTTGGAATTTTCATCATTTTTCCAGTTATCATTCAGCTTCTCTCACTCCCATTTGTCAAAGCCTCTTCAATTCTGCGAGATGTCTGCCTGGGTTATATTGTATTTGCCACAGTAATTCAGGCTTACAAAGCTTGTCTTGGCATCCTGCAACTACTACAGGAGGTTCCAGGGCTGATTAAGGATACATGCAGAATTGTCATCACTTTTGGATGGTTGGACTTTTTTGTATACCACTGGAGAAGGGTGAACTTAGGCCAAGTTCTAATGATAACTTGGCTAATGAAATGTTTGGCTTTATTCAATCTTTTGTTGATTGGAACCCATAGTTTTCCTATTGCTTTTTCTGGAAGTTTAATTTATTGCTTTGATAGCCTTCTGGATTTGGCAGGGGCAAGTCTGATCATTGGATTTGTAGCAAATCTTATATTAGACTTCACTAGCACGCTGATGAAAGGAAATATTGAACGACCAATGGAAGAGCGTCAACAGGAACAGTGGAACAATAGTGTTTCATTCTTTCTTTTGAGTGTCCAAGTTGGAATTTCTAGCGTACCCACGCAGCAGCGCCTTATGCTTATAGGCCTGGTCTTGTTTGTCACTCTCTCCTTGTTCTTGCAATCTATGTATGAGCTTGCAGAACCAGCTCTCATGTCATTGGGTGCAACTTACACTGGTGTTTTCACCAGCAAACACTTGCGCACATTAGGAGTGTGTTTGTTGATTCTGGTACTTCCTGGATACATGATCATTGTTCTCTGCCAAATGTTCACTTTTGATGCATGGTTGTTTGTTATCATATCCAGTAACTTGGTGACGATTGTTCAAGTGATGGGATCACTGATAATTTATGGACTTTTTGTGTCCAATGTACATTCAGAAAGTCAAATGAAGGATCTAGATGACTATGTTTATTACATTAATGCTGGCTCAAAAGTCTTTGAGTTCTTAGTTGCTGTGGTTGTCCTTGGATACACTGCATGGGCTACCTTAACTGGGGAGTGGAACTATATTGGTAAGAATCTTAACTGTAAAGGCCCTGTACTTGTAACTTGTTAATAAGTTGCATATGTTGTATTGCTTAACAGTAACGGGAATAAATATTTTGGACACTGGGAAACTTTATGCAGATAATCCTACCTCATAGTTGACATTCCAAAAGGGAAAAATGACCCAAAGTTTTCTCTCCCACACAAAACATTGCATTTTGTTTTCATGCAAAATCTTTGATTTTGCAGATTTACCAATGACCAAAATTCAAGAAGGCAAATTTTCATGAAGACTTGTAATTAGAATGAATTGAGATAAACTTAACCCTTTAACTCCCAGATCAAATTTGTAATTCTCCTTACAGTTAACCATACAATTCTTATAATGTTAGTTCAGAGAATTTGGTGTTGGATCAATCAATTATCCGTTAATTGATATATTTCTTATTCTCATCATTAATCTGGTTGATACTGTATTGATATTGTAAGGAGAAAGTCTATATTGGTCCCTCATGGGAGTTAATAAGGGTTAAACCCTATGGGTGGGCAGTGTCTAATTTACATGTACATGTATCTGTACAATCATTCATTAAGATCATTAGAATAAAGGGAATCATCACTGACCTAACAAGCTTTGATTGTTAAATGAATTCTCTTAGTCTGTTTTAAATATAATGTATACAGAGTCAAATATGGAGAAAATAGATATTGATGTTAGTGTGTAAAGTATTAATTTTCTCTTTTCTCCCCCCCCTAGGTGCATTGGTAATTTCAATGCATGCCTACTTCAATGTTTACAAGCGAGCTCAAGAAGGATGGAATAATTTCCTATTACGACGCAATGCAGTTAAGAGACTCAACTCCTTGCAGTGGGCCACTGAAGAACAGTTAGAGCAACTAAATGATGTCTGCTGCATATGTTATGAAGTGTTAGATAGGGCTAAAGTTACTAAATGTAATCATTTCTTTCATAGTTTGTGCTTAAGAAAATGGCTCTATGTGCAAGACAAATGCCCTATGTGTCATGCAGACATTTTACCACAGGATTGACTATTACCTGTCCTGCAGCGCATGGCTGCTGTTGGTTGAATAATCATTAACATCATAAATCATTTCATGATTTACATGCCTTTCATTAGGCTACAATCTGTGACAAATTTCATGGAGCCACTTATGAGGAATTGTTTCAAAATGATGTGTGAATTGAAATGCAGTTTTCCATACTATGCCCCCCTTTCCATCACTTAAAACTATACAGTCACAGAATACAGAGTGCATTGTATCAATGCTAGTGGGGAAGGGGGGGGGGGGTGAATTATGGGTCTAAGAGATAAAATTGTTATGCTTATTTCAGAGTATTGGGATTTCATTGGTAATGTATCATTTTGTCAAAGATTGAAGCCCTCCTTATTGTTCTCCACACTCTATACATCATCCCACACAGATTACAATGTGGTTCTGAGGTTTTGGAACTTTAAAGAAAAGAACTTGCTCATGGCCCAGCTCCCCAGTGAGTCTTAAGTGTGTTAGCTGCTGACCGTGAAATCAAACTTGGTAGTCATATGATTTCTGATGAAGTGACTCCTTCATATGCATTTTATCATTTTCTTTGTTCCAATTGCCTTGTCTATAACTGTGTAATAATTTTGTAAGGGATAGTGGTGAGCTGACATCCTCCAGTTCAGTAGAGACAGTAAAAAGAAAAATGTTCAGAGGGTTTTGCATCACTAAGCTGTCTGACAATATGACACATGCAGTGATGATGACCTGTTTTGATTTTACTTCTTATTCAGAAATGATTGTAGTTTTTAAGTAGCCAGTGAGCAAGCCCCTCTTATTACTGCTTCAGTATAAATGTTTCTTTGTCTGTGAGAAAGTTTGAGGCTTTGAATGATGCCAACTAGCAAGAAATCTGAAAATGGTCTGTGCAAACCTTTCCCAACTTGTCTCAAATCTTCCTGCAGATAGAGAAACACTTATCCTGCAGTGCAAATATGAGGGCCTGCTTACAGGCTAGTATCTACCTAAAAAGACATTGACAACAGTTTATACACAACTGAATAGTTATTTTGTTTTTGGTAGCCAAGAATTTCAGGGTCTTATTTTTCAAACTTTACCTGACTATGTTTGTTAAACCAGAAGTAGTTCAAAAGTCACTTTAAATTTTTCCTGTCACTAATGACATTTATGATACAGTATATTCAGCAAACACAGTAAAGAGAAACTGTAATATATATTTATGTTTTTTCAGTGAAGGTCTCAATATGTGGTCTTGATTAGTGGTATATTTAAAGCCTTTGATTTTAAAAGCAAAAGAAATTTAATTACTGAGGTTTAAAATTTAACTGTAACTGTAACTTTATTTTTTAAATCCTATAAGGAAAGGTGTTTTTTACAAGTCAGCTACAGAGTGCATGTACATGTACATAGGTGTGTGGGCAGTCATCACACTCAGTGTTCCTGCACATACAGAATTAGAACTTACCAGGGCCATTTGCACCTATGAATTTTGTCTTCTTGAGCTAACAGTATCTATCCTTTAATGTATAATTAGGTTTTATCAACTGTGTTGATAATATAAATTGGCCACTGCCATTCCAAGCATTAACCCCTTGTCAGAAATAAATACAAATAGAAGGGCAGTGATTAGATACATCAGCTTTAGATACTCTTTTCAGTGGCCAATTTACATAATCAACTGAGTCAATAAAACCAAATTATTTTTTAACCCTTTAACTCCCAGATCAAATTTGTCATTCTCCTCACTGTAAGCCATACAATTCTTATAATGTTAGAGCAGAGAATTTAATATTGGACCAACTAATTATCCCCAAATTGATATTTTTCTTTATTCTCATCACTCACCTGGTTGGTTTTGTATTAATATTGTAAGGAGAAATTCTGTCTTGGTCACTCATGGGAGTTAAAGGGTTAATACCCCCACAGTTTCTTTAAAAAGTTACTTCTTTTATCATTACTGTACTTTGACACTTTGAGAAATACTATCAGTGCCTGAAGATAAAATTCGTACCCAGAGTGGCCTTATATTTTAACATCCTCCAATATCCATTTATATTTTACTATGTGAAATGTTAAATTTACATGCTGTTGCTTACAAAGTGTGTTTGCAGGAGGGAATGTATTTGCAAAATTATTTTTAACTGTCTTAGAAGATGAGAAGATTGTTGCAATTATATTTAAGATATTTTGAAAGTTATTAAAGATTTATGATAATAAATTTACAGTCTAGTGGTGTTGGTACAAGTTTAAGTGGCTCAAGTACAGTTGAAATAACCAAGAAAGGTTATCCAAGATGGGTATAACATAACAAAGATTAAGTCTATTGGTAAGTTTTGAATTACCAATAATTGTTGGTAATTCAAATATCTTTTTTATTGATATTGCCTGCAAAAATTAAAGACAATCTGAAAATTAATCTTCACAGGTAAGCTACAGTTGAGATCAAGGAACATTAAGAAGTGTAAAAACAATAGGGCTTTAACTGGGAAGCCTGAAATCTTGCAGACCACTTACAAGTAAACATAGAATACACTAAGATTACATACATGTGCTACATGTCACTTTTGTCTGGACAATCAGACAATGAAACTGAATTGTTAGAACTGTTTTTTAAAATGTTTTGTCCTGCAAACATACATTCGTATTGAGAGATAAGAGAACTGATCCAGGCTACATGTAAACTGGCATGGCTCACAAGAAAAATTTATCAACAAATATTACACACACAAAAAATGAGTTTATGTTCTTGAAAGAAAATTCTTTTAGCCTTTCAAAGGTTTCCTAGGGAAGGAATCAAGAGTTCTGTCCTCTCCTAAGGGGGAGGAAGGAGTTACAAACATAGTTTAGTTTCCCCACCCTCTTAAAAAAAATCAAATTTTTAGCCTTTTATAACGTTCTTGATGAAGGAATCAGGGTTTCTATCCTTTTCTAAGGGAAGGGAAGGTGACAACATTGGTTTTGTTTTCCACCCTCCTTGATCCCCCAATGAAAAAGAATGCTTACAACGTTTTTACTCTGAAATTGTTCGTCTTTGACCAAGCATCTTTACAATATGTTTGATAAAAACTAGTAAACAAATAGTTCTTTACAACCTACAGTCTTAATCAACTAGGATCATTCTTCCTGTAAATGAACTCGTCTTTGTAAACCCAGATGGCCAGTCCATACCCAAGCACTGCTTGAAATACTCCAAGTCCAATGATATACGCCTTCGATCGGCCGTAATACGGAGAATAACAAAAGTCAAGAAAAGAAGCGAAGAGAGGCTTAGGTACACCTGTGTTTCTCTCAAAGTGTAACGATGCTATTAAAACTGACGGTAACAAGCAGCCGCTGAGACCCAAAATCAGTGATCCTCTGATAGCTGCACATGAAACACATTCCAGTTTACGCTTTTTTATCGGATCAGAAACCAGATATTGCCATGACAAACAAGTGATACTCCCGCAAAATGCTGGGGTGATAAACATGGCGGCTCGCGACCGTGGAACCTGCAAAACGCTAGCGACAGAACGATAAAAACTTGGAATTATCGCCGTAAATCCAGCAGCTGATAGTCCAGCTATGGCTGAGTAACGATCTAAGGAATGATATCCATTACTCCCTTTACCAAAACACATAATTTTCGATTATTGTTATTAATATCTGCAAGTAAAGCTTTCAATCTTTGAAGTATTTACCAGGCATTCCTATGACAAGGCCAGGTTGCAAGTATTTCGTTCCCAGACTCTTAGCTCCTTCTCAGCCTCTCATGTTTCTCGTTTTACATACCAACAGGCCTACACTTACCCACGTTTTTCGAGTTGGGTTTCGATCCCAAGTTTCCTGAATTCATCAGAATGACTGTACTCTCTCGTTAGCCTTCGATTTTAGAGGGGAGAGATTAGAGGCTATGTCGGAACTCTTCGAGATGACTCCGGAAATCTACGGAAAACATTTGGGTTTAGACTTAATTTTCAAATAAAACAGCGAGAAATATTAATCTTTCAATTTAAAAGTTCAGGGTTCCAAATGGAAAATATCAAAATCATAAGAATCGCAAGGAGTCAGACTGACTCTCCAGCCTAACTTTATAAATTTTTCAAGGTCAGCATCTGAGCAGTTGGGCACCTACCCCTCCCTTAACCCAACAACAGTCCACTTATAAAAAGCTAGCTTTAATTTTGGTTAAGGGGAGGGGTAAGTGCAAAGTTGCTCCGATACCAACATTGATCCGAATTTTTACGACCTTTTTTAAACCATTCTGTTTATTGATTGTGTAACACCATTCACAATATCTGTATCAATCTATCTAATATGTACATTCATAGGTATTCAAGTAAGCTTATGTACACGTTTTAGTTATCGATTTTCTGCACGGCACGTATATAAAATGCAAATTTGTAAGTCATATATTACTTTATCATGAGGAAGTGAAGCTTCGATTGTCCTTAAGATATGGGTTAAGCAGACTCTCCCAAAATTCATCCGAAGAGCCCTTTCATTTAAGTTTCGCGCGCAAAACCAAAACCAAAGTATTTACAACGGCCAACTGGAATAAAGGAAAATGCCCTAATGAACCAATGAGAACTCAGAGCAAGATAAAACAAACCGCCTTAAGAGCGGGAAAACGTGGGCGAACAAGTGGTGATTGGTGTAAGTTTTGCATCTAATTGGTTGGGAGAATGGTACGAGTTTTCTCGACCAATCACAGAGCGAAGTAAACCAATACGAATGCAGTTCCCAATTGATTTCGATGGTTAATTGAAAATTGCTCTACTCTAGATGTACTTTGATTATTGTGACTCTCTCTTGCCACGTAGATCATGACGTGATATTTGTTTACAGTATTCTTGATGGCTTTTTCCTCTTAGAAATCTTTAAACGACTACAAAGTGGCAAGACTCCTCCTTTCCATGAAGGATTTCCGACAAAGCTCCATTTACTTGTTCATTTAACTCGCATGTTCTTTGCTCGTCTGACTCTGAATTACTGCGAACATAGTTTATCGATTTACATCCGGGATGTCTTTGGCATCGCAACATGCATTCAACGTCACTCCTTACTTTGAGATGGCTTATCGCGTGACCAAGAAGTTCTTTTCCCGGTAACCGTCTGAAGATGGTGTTGTACCTTATTTCTGTAACAGAAACCACGATAACTTTGAATTAGATGTAAGAGTAATTTCAATGGAGTGACGACCCTAATCTGGGATTGCAGTGGTTTAAAACTAGCCTGCCTCGAGTCTTATCAAAAGCGAAACTAAATCAATACATTCTTGGAAACTCGCGTTTTCCATGTGATTATCCGAACAGATCTCGAAGCTTTGACAAGTGGCCATTCTTAAGCGCGGGAAAGCGCGGCAAAGCGCGGGAAAGCGTGGGAAGAAAGGTGAGACGTGGCCAATGATGCAGAATGAATCATGGACACACACCTAGCAATCCTTTACGACTTTCACTTCTTGAAAAAAAAAAGCACTCACTGCTGAAGGAATTTGAAATACGTCGGTATTAATGAAATACTCAACCTGTCTGGCAAATAAATGCTTGTTGTTTTCTGCACCAATTGTCGTTCCATCTTCCGTAAAAACTGGAATAACTCGTCATTTCTCCACACTTCTCATCCAAATTGTCGGGGGCTCTAGTGACCCAGTTTGTGAATGTAAGCTCTGTGCCATCAACCCACTGGAACACGTTACTTGAGGAGAAGTTTTGAGAAACAAAAACGAAACATAACAAAAAAGAATAAGATGTTAAAAAATGATCAAATAAATATTAGAGAAATGCTATGATGGAAACTGTACCGGAAGAAAAAATGAAAAATGAAAAACTAGAAGTTTCCTTGAAATAGTTTTCTCTGTAATCCCTAAGTGTTTTGTTTCATGAGGAACGCATCGATTTACTCAAGATAAAATTTAGTCATAACACTGACTCCCCAAACGATAACAAATTCCAGAACCAAGGTCATATAATTTGAGACCAAAAATATCAGCCTATCAGCAAAATGTTCCTCAGGCGATGCAATAATATCTGCGTATGCAGAGGTACATATCTACCTTAACCTATCTCCGTGTATAATTGCTGTTATTACCATTAAGGTGATTTTGAATTTACTGATAAAATTAACGCTTTGTTGCATAGATTTTTCTTTCCTTATCCAAGTGATTGGTCCAGAAACCTCACGCAATCCTCTTAACCAATCAGATTCAAAACTAAAAACAAATCGCGAGTTGTCACTCACGCTTTCCCGCGTTTTCTCTCTTGTTTTTGTTTGTTTTTTTCACTTTTCGTTCGCATTGGCTCTATGTGATATTTCCTCTCATCTGATTGGTCGATGTGATTTCTCTGATATAGGTTTTACGACACTCAATCGAAATATGCTCTATCACCATCATCAATATCAAGACTACTATCATGATTATTATCTTTATTATCGACGTACTACTCAAGTAACATACTCTTCATTTCTCATAAGGCCGATCCATAGAGTTCTGTCTACAGCAACATTTTTGTAAACAAACGTCTGTTTTTTTCTATCGTGTATAGTCACCAGATCTCCTTCATAGTCACGGCATGTTTCTCTGGCCTCACTCCAAGTCCTTTTCTCTGGGAAATATTTGATGCATATGGTCTGATAATTTAGCCAGCCACTGTCACAAGGGTCTAAAAACAATGCGACAAAATAGAACCAAGAGAAAAATAAATGAGACGTTTGAGGATGAGAAGTAGATTTTTAACCCTGAAAACTCCCATGTGTGACCAAGACAGAATTTCTCCTCATTATATCAGTAAGAAAAATAACAATAAGGAAATTGTAAGTTGATCCAATACCAAATTCTCAAAACTAGCATCATAAGAATTAAAGGGCGGACACCATTAACTTCTTGAGAGTGAAATGGTTGAAATGAGATTTTTTGGATGACAACACGTCTTCTTCACACGTGTGTGGGTAACAGTCCGAATACATTCATCAATGCAAGTGTTTCAGTGTTTTAAATGTTTATCCGCTATTTGCACAGTTATGCGGAATAGTATGCAGAAAAACACAAAAAAAGATTTTTCATTTGTTTTATGCTTATTCTATTAAAGCGATAGAACGCAGTTTCTTTCGTTTTACCGGCTTAATAACCCACTTTGAGAACACTCAGAGGGCCCGTTATTTTCACGAGGTCTCACCCAAACCGCGGTTTTACGCAAGCAGTGGGCCCCAAGGATTCTCTAGAAGAAGGTTGATCTAACTGAATAAATCTCCCTCTACTATTAGCTCTCTGTTTACACTGTTCACAAAAATAAATTTTCCGATAAAAAGTTCGGCTAAATTGAAGATGGCTAGCTTAGAACGCGTTTTTTTCAAACAACGGCTAAACTTGTTTAAATAACCGGTCCGACGAGTTTGTAAATCATTTTCCTCCGGGTCGTGGTTAACAAACTTTCATGACCGTCCTGCCGACATCCCGCGTGAGTTATTACGCCGTTAAACCCTTAGAATGTGTGGTCTATTGCTTCAATAGGAGTACAAAGTGTCTTAAGAATAAACTATAGTGAGATTGTATATTTTTAAACCACTCAGCAGCAGAATAAACTAACATCTTGTAGTTCTTTGTTCTTGTCAATAAGGTTTGTTTTACTAGGACTTACTGTTAGTCCACCTCGACTGACACACATACAAATTGTTTAAATGAGGGCACATGATATTGACACAGATGCTTGATAGAAAGCAATTCGAAGAAACCCGCCATGAAATAGCTTCAATGGAGGAAAGCCGATTTATTCATGATAATAATAAAGAATTAGCTATAAAATAATGGAAAAATGAACATGACTTGTTCGGAACAAGACAAGTAGAACGAGCCTTTTTAAGGTATATCGAGTTCTGACTGCATTTAAACTAATTCAACGAGAGATACATTTTTAAAACTTGAGAAAAACGGCTCTATCTTATTTTAAATACACATGGAAAAAAATATCACTTTACACTGCGACTTTCTTAAATTTTATTTGAGCAGGCTTGAGAACCAAATCACAGGCTTGACTTACGAGCTCCTAAGAGTTTTAAAATGCTTTTAGTAATTGCAATCCTTTGGTAAAGAAACATCTTTTGAGCTAAGTTGACACTCCACCAAGAAATCACCTTTTTGTAAATAATTGTATAATGACAAAAGTATGGGAAAGGAATATGACTCGATTGCCATTTCGATAAAAATTTGGCAAACAAAACTAATGAACTAGACATGAACGTGATCTTTCATTTCAAATATAAAATAGAACTCAACCAAACAACGAAACGACGGAAGTGAAATCACTTTGTGAAAGAAATCTAAACTCGTTAGATTGAACTTGTCAACATCGATATGTCAGCTTGGCAAGATGAAAATTTTCCCATAACTAACGGAGCGAAAGCTTATTTTCTTTTTCCAAGTGTTTGTTTCGTTTCGCGATTCATTATTGTCTCAAAAATCTCAAGTTGAATAAAAAGATGAATGAATAAGATACTCGTCTTTTCTTATTTTCAAGTTTTACACTAAAAAATATTTCCAAAAAATAAGGTTAGCCGCATAGAGAATGATAATGAATAAGGAGCAATCTGCTCATGACATTTTCATGATCAAACATTTAGCAATTAAATTTGTTTACTCAAGAAAGGGGGAGAATTTTCCAAAAAGCTTAACACCATTTCTCGTGGAACATTGAGGTTCGGTAATGTGATTTCTTGGGAAATTAATGATCTGTAGGACTACAACTCGTTGCTTAGCTATGATTCCAACTTGATTACAGAATTTTCAAGCAAAATTGAAAGGCATTATTTTGCCTCCTTTTTTCCTTTTGTGATAGGTCTTTAAATCGTTTGTTGATTTTTATCCCTACCTTTGCCGGGGAACGATAAAGCAGCGATATAGTTCTGAAATTAAATTGAGAATAAAAATCAAATCATTAAAATTTGTTGTCATGCATTTAGCTAGTGTTTGTAAAGCACCAGAATTATGGCGAGGCCTGTTTGACTTACCTCTGCATGAAAACAAAACATCAAAGAAAAGAACAAAACATGTACGGTATGGTATAATTCCATCGTAAAATTCAATAAAATCTCTTTTTTAATGCTGCATGGAGACGCATAAAATGTTGAAACTAAAAAACCTCAACAGCTTGCAGCATTTTGTTCCCACTGATCGCATACAACGCAAATAAATCTCCCTCCGTTTCTAATGCGGGTTACGTTTCTGCCGGCAGCTGTGTTTACGGAGTTATTTCATTTTATACCAAAATTTACTTTGGCGTTTTGGATATATCACTTAGTTTTGATTTCTTCTATTGAGCAAGTGATTGGTCAGTATTTGTTATATTTGTGATTTATGTTTGAGTACTGGCGGGTAAGATTGACAAGAACCTGTTCTGCTGCCATTGGAAAATTACTGAAAACGGTCAACCGTACTTCTCACATTACATTGTTATATGAAAATGCATCTCGGCCAATTAGACGAATTCCCTTTTACTAGTAGCGGATAAATCTTTCAGCCTGATTTGGACTTTTTTTTATGTATTTCTATCGTAACGAGTGTGCAGTTACACATATTCCGCAAACAGACGTAGACATCCGACAAACATTTTAATGAATTCCTCTTCCAGATACGTTTTTAAACCGTTCGTGTTGTTGTCGTTGTTCCTCTACCTTTCAGTTGTTATCATTGTTATTGTTATCGTTATTATTTGTTATTTATAAACATTATCATTGTTTGAGAATTATGTTTTTCGTGCCATCACCAGCGTGGGACAAAGAATCGAACCTCAGACCTCCGATGCTCTACCACTGACCCACAGAGACTCTATGGTGAGCGAAGTCCATTACGAAGTTCATACATGACACGCGTCTTGCATACTGCCAGGATCAGCGATGTCACTGGCGTCATGTCTGTAAATAGAATAAGAAAAATGGTAAGTTTTGAGCTCGGTAAAGAAACAGATTTACAGACAATGATTTATTATCATTGTTATTATTATTGTTTGCATAATTATCTTTAGTAACTGTTTGTGTGGCATCATAGTCCGAGGGAGTCCCGGAAGGATTATTGTCTGTGAAAGTGACTGACGTTTCGACAACCTTAGCGGATGTCATCTTCATAGTCCATGTCAGTCGATTGTTTAAAGCCCACTAAAAAATTGAAAGAAATTGCTAATTGGGCAAACTTCTTTTTCTTTTGGCGAAATCAAATAGGTTCTTACTGTATGTTTTCAATCAAAAGTGTATTGAAAGCGTACTATTACCGCTGGCTACAAAGTCCCGTGGATACCACTTTAACATGCTATTGTTTAATGGTTTAACAGTGAATTTTCGATTTCTTGACAGTTGGCTGTGGACCCCATCGAGAGCCGTCAATTAATAAGTCATTGCATGCACGAATACACCTCATTACCAAACAAAGATTAAGGAAGAAAGTTATCCCAACGTTGTGGTCCACGTTTATTAAATGAAAGTCTCCAGGTCTTCCTCGGGATTTCACAAAATTAGCCTAAACTAAAAACTTTCGCAAAAATCTAAGGGCAGAAAAGTGTTGCAGGTTACTTAATAACAGTGTGGTCTTACTTTTCAACAGCGTAGACTTATGCTATGTTGTTGTGACTTTTATTCTCGGCTGGGGTCAGCAACTGGACTATGTTTCCTACAAGCGACCCTTGAAGTACCGAAAATATAATGCCTCGCAACGTACCGTGATTGTTTGAGACTGTTGGTTTTGAAAACCACAGAACAAAGAACTTTACAACTTTGTGCACAGGGTTAAGAACCTAATCCGAAGGATTAGTGAAGTCAAACCTTTTAGTGTTTCAAAAGGCCAAATGGATGTAACGAAGGTTCAACCTGCACGAGTGTCAAACACCAATGGTTGTGCGCACGGAAAAGTTGCGTCGTACTTTAGTACGTGATCCGTACCCATAACAAATACCAAAATATAAAAGTTAGTTAAAAAAGCTTACAAATAGAGTTCGTAAACAACCTAATTAAAAGTTCTATTGTTCATTCACAAATGGCACTACGGTTTTTTGCTGGCAGAACGGCTGAGGTTGAATATTACTTCTAGTACTAAGCTTGTTCGAAACAACTGGCATGACGTGGAGTTTATGTTAAAGAGGACTACCAGACTGACACAAGCTACAACAACTTGTAACTGCAACTTCAAAACAACTTGAACAATTAGCCTGAAGGATTAGCTAGAACAAAAAATATCGTTTCGATACCAGCGTAATTGCAATTAACTATGGCCAGGTATCGGAGGCCTACGCGATGTCAACAAAAAGATAAGTTTTAGCAAATTAAAGTTTCGCGTGGAACTTTTCCCGAATCTACGTGTACAATTTTAAGGGTTCATACCGAGTGTAAGCATTTTGAAAATCATATCTTCCAGGTTAAGTAATCTTTCATCTTTTGGTAATTAGCTTAACGTATTTATTCGAACAAACGCCGCCCTCGAATAAAAGCCGCATTTTAGAGCAGAAATATTAATAAACGCCGCCCTCGAGTCAACGCCGCATCATCATGCGGCGTTTATTCGAATAATAGACTCATAAAGCACACATCGTTCATTGCTTCCATCGCAGGTGAATTTTGAGTGAAACAGACACAAACTCTTTTGAGTGTACCAGTTCTGATGTCGAGAAAGCATATCCGACATAAGATATTTATTCACTTTATGTATTGTAGTAGTATTAACATGCAAATTGTGAAATTGAGAGCAATATAGAAAACGACTTTTTAGACAAGCACTAAATCATGTTTCTGTTTTTTAAAATTGAAATGGTCAGTTACCATGCAATTGTATGTATTTTAAATAAAAGCTGTCCTCGAGCAAAACGCCGTACTCGAATCGCCAAGAATTTAACAAACGCCGCGGCGTACAATCAAATTAAAAATATGGTAATCTTGAAATGACATTCCTATCCAGAAAGGAGACTTCTTCGTTATAATGGAATTTTGCATCCATCAGTGAATATTTTGAGATAAGTTGGTTCATCAACTGAGTTGATAACGTGATGTGGCCATTGTACAGAATTTCCGTTTCATGCAAGAGATCGCGGTTAAGCCAGCATCTGCAGCTAATCGATCCAACTCTTTTTTTTTCCACCTTCATATGATTTTGACCACGAGGCGCTTAGAGGCTGTGTTAGTTCAAGCAGACTATAAAAGAATTATATTTTCTGCAAAACAGAAGAAAGAGGTCATCTTAAACTGATTATAAGATATGTACGGGGGG